GTCGGGGGGCTTAGTAACTGGTTATTTTCTGGACTTATAAGTACCATAACCCCAATTAGGGTCCCTTTTAGGGTACTTTTAAGTCTATTTACTACCTACTTACTAAGTCCCCCGACCCTCCAAGTAGGGTTCCCTTGTTAAACTGTGTGACAGAAGAAAATGTACCCTCACTACTTAACGGGTCATGGGACTTACTAACTACAGGGTTATAAGCAAGGTAACTATATTTACTATAACCATATTTACTAAGTCCCATGGTCCTCCGAGTACTAACGGCAGAATGAGGTTGCAGGAACTCCGAAACTTCCAAGCGCCGAAGGGCCACCCAAACATGAGCACGTGTGTAGGACTATGGGGGGTCGGCATGGGCTTCCCCGGATGTATCCAGTCCCCATATGAGTATACTAGAAAGTGGAACCCCCCAAATTTACTGCTCAAAAACCCGGGGGTTGGGACTTAGCACGAGGAGCCATAAGTATTGAAAATGGTTAGGGTAGAGGGTTTACGGTTTAGGGTTCAGCATGGTCTGTGGTTCAAGTTCGGGATTCAGGTTTGGGGTTAAGGCTACGGTAGCCACCCTTGCCTATCCCGTCTTCATGATTGCTTCAGGCGTGCTTAGTCATGCACAGGGTAGAAAACCTCCATGTCGCGAAAAAAGGTGGTGGACGATGAGTCCGGAGACATCCTCAGTCTTCGCAGTTCCTTAATTCAGAAGCTTGAATAATTGCCAATAATATTATTCCTTATGAAACGTATTGCAGTTGTACTCTACAGGAGCCCAAAACCCTACTTGGAGGATCATGGGACGAGGTAAGTAAGGTTATGCGTACCTTCATTGAGGTTATAAGTAATTGTAAGTATAACCCTAGTCACCAGGTCCCATGCCCACAAAGTAAAGTGCAAAGGATCCCAGCACTACTCCTCCTAAAGCCATGTTACAGCTTTTTTGGCTGCACTCTTGTCTAAATTTGGGTTATACGTACTTATAAGTATAGTTACCTTGATTATAACCCCAATTACTAAGTCCCATGACCCTTAAAGTACCCCAACCCCCCCTTCTGGAACCCTTACAGATCTCTTTAAAGGAACCCTTAGTTACTAAGCCCTTTAAGTACCTTAGACCCCCTTATATAGAACCCCTATAGATCCCTTTAAAGCAACCCTTAGTTACTAAGTCCCATGACCCTTTAAGTACCCTAACCTCCCCTTATAGAACCCCTGTAGATCGTTTTAAGGGAACCCTTATAGAACCCTTAGTTACTAAGTCCCATGACCCTTTTAGAGCTCTTTAAAGGAACCCTTACAGAACCGTGAGTTACTAAGTCTAATTCTTTAAGGCTTCTTGATTGCAAGGACCCTGAGAGGCTTCTGAGAGGTATCCTAAGTGACCAGACCTCCGAGGATCCAAAAAGTAGATCCCTTAATAGGGGTTCCTTTATAAAAGTAGCCTTAGTAGTATAGGGCCCCAACTTATAGGGTATCTACTTCCCAGATCCTCCCGGGGGTCTGGGATCATAAGTATAGTATAATGTACCCCTGAAATCATTAAGGCACCTTCAGTGTGTTACTGACAAGGCTTCCGTATAGGATTCCTTTCAAGGTCCATGCAAAGGGGATTTTACAGAGAAAGCTCTGCAGTAAGAAACGGTACCCTCATACTAAGTGCTATTCCTGCGAGCCAAAAGCCCCAAACGCTAAACCCTTTGAGCCCAGCCCCAAACCCAAAGTAGAACTAGTCAAGCTAGTCAGACCAAGCCACCAATCCCCCAGACCCCCGGGAGGATCCAAGAAGTAGATCCCTTGATGGGGGCTCCTATCAAGTACCCTGAGTAGTATAGGGCCCCAAATTAGGGGATCTACTTCCTAGATCCATAGCCCCATGCCCAAAGACTCCCATATCCTTAATTAAGGAATGTCTTGGGGTTCCTTAAAAGGGATCAAAAGGGTTTCTAGATCCTCCCGGGGGTCTGGCCCCAGGCATGGCTCACTTAATAAATCATAATATGAACCCCCTTATAATTCAACTTATATTCCTTAATTAAGGGGTATTGGGCTCTCTGGCAAGCCCCTACCAAGCCCATAAAACCGTACTTAAAGGGTCATGGGGACTTAGTAACGCTCAGGTAACTATACTTACAATTACGTGTAACCCCAATTAGGGTCCTTAGAACCTTGAACCTGATTCAGAAACCCTGGCCGTATAACGCCAAAATAGGAGGATTCATACATACAAGGAATCCTAATACAGGCCCAAGGTTTCTGAATCAGGTTCCCACGTCATGGGGCTTACTAACTAGGGTTACAACTCAGGGTACTTTTCTTACAACTACTTAGAACCCCAAGTAAGGTACTTATAACCCTACTTACTAAGTCCCCTTATCCTGAAGTAGACCCTAAACCCCTTAGATCCCTTACAGAACCGTTTAAGGAACCCACAAGTTGAGGTAAGTCCAATGATCCTCCAAGTATTGACCAACCTTGGAATGTAGGAACCTTTAAGGGCTCCTTAAAGGGTTTAGGGTTTAGGGATCTATAATATTAGGGGTTCTATAAGGGGTAGTTTAGGTTACTTAGAGGATCATGGGACTTAGTAAGTAATTAAGAAACCCTGGCCACATAACCCCCAATATGGTAGGATTCATATAAGGAAGCCCAATAAAGACCCGAGGTTTCTTAATCAGGTTCCTACAGTATTGACCAAGCTTGGAACCCAGACCCCCGGGAGGATCTAGAAAGTAGATCTCCTAATTTGGGCCCTATACTATTAAGGCTACTTTATCGGAACCCCCACTAAGGGATCTACTTTTTGGATCCTACCGGGGGTCTGGGCAGCCGTTGAGCCCGGTTCATGTCGGCCCACGAACCCAAGCACGAAAGTCAAGAGGCTGACCTACTTGGAGGATCATGGGACTTAGTAGGTAGGGTCATAAGTACCCTAATTGGGGTTATAAGCATAGTTACCCTAAAAATAACCGTAGTTACTAAGTCCCATGACGCTTTAAGTACCCAGAGACTCCAATATCCGTTCCCAACGGGTCCTAGGTACCTTTAAAGGATCCATGAAAGGAACCCCTATAGATCATAGTTGGGTAACATTTTACTATTTTATGGGTGCTTAAACCCAATACGGAATAGTAGTGTGGGGTGCCACATCAAGGTCTCAAAGATTCCAATATCCCTTAATTATAGCAGGACCCTAAGATGATTTAAGGAATATTCCTTACTTCAGGGATATTGGAGTCTCTGGGTACCATGGGGACCTCTCATTAACACTCTAAGGCCCCCAGTATTAGGATCCCTCATCAGAGAGGCGTTGCTCATCAAGCGCTTTCATGATCCTGACGCACCCAGCCATGCGATCCGAATCTCGAAGGTTCCAGCCAAGATTTCATCTTTGATACGTATGCTCCAAACACTCCAGTGTGCTAGCTCTCGCGCATAAGCCTTAAACTCAGCAAGCCCAGAAGACCTGCTCTTCATGGCAGCCTGAAGCTATACACTCCAAAGCCTTCAGAGTAAAACGACTCTCACCCTTGACCCTAAACCCTAAACCCCTTCTGGCCTAAACCCTGCGTCCGTTGCCTCATGGGTGTGACGTGTCCAGAGCTCAGCCATCTTGGACAGAAGTAAGGGCTTTGCATTTAGGGCTCTCAGCTTTTCCCAGACCCCCGGGAGGATCCAAAAAGTAGTAGATCCCTTAATACGGGTTCCTATAAAGTAGCCTTAGTCGTATAGGGCCCCAAATTAAGGGATCTACTTTCTAGAGCCTCCCGGGGGTCTGGGCACTGGTCCCCTAAACTGGGGGGCTTTGCGTTTAGGATTTAGCTGTTCTCGGATTGTGGCTGTGACAGATCTACAGACTTCAGAGCTGTGGCCCAGATTTTGGGAGGATCCAAAGAAGGATCCTCCAAGAGTTTCCTATCACTCTTTTGGTAGTATGGCGTCCCAAATTTATGGGATCTACTTTCTAGGTCCTCTTGGGGTGTTAGAGTAGGATTTCGTTTCATGGTCTTGGAGCTGTTGGGGAGGGGTAAAGTGCGTTAGGGTTTGGAGGGTTGTTGGCATTTTCATTTGCCCAAACCCGTGGGAGGATCCAAAAAGTAGATCCCTCAACAGGCTTCCTCCAAAGTGCCCTTAAGTAGTATCGGGTTTCGAATTCGGGGTTCTGATTCTAGGTCCTCCCGGGTTCCGGGACCCTAATCCCTAAGAGGGTCCCAAATGGGGGAGGGGGGGGGGGGGGTTCCACATTCTAGATGCTCCCAGAGGTCTGTGACATAACGTCGGGCCCCTATTAGTGTAGGGAACTTAGTAATGAGAATAATAGGGCTTGGTGGTATATTATACTGTGATTATAATAAGGAAGCCCCAAAACCCTACACGAGGTAGCAGCGAGCTGGCGAGAGCAGCGGCTTAAAGGCCTTGTTACCAAGTCGCTGAAGCAGACGTTGCTCCAAGACCTAGCTGCAGAGGTGGTCACACGAGTGACGGCGTTTGCAACGGACAAAGACTCACAGACCAAAGCTCAGGAGCTCGGCGACTTCGAGTACAACTACCTCGAAGAGCTGTTGGTGGACGCATCATGTTGGACTCCGACTCCATGGGGTGCTGGTGGAGGGTCGGGAGACTTAGTAAGTTGGTAATAAGTAGGCTTATAAGTGCCTTAAAAGGGACTCTGATTTGGGGTGTTGATATTTATAAGTCCCTAAAATAATTCAAATAACTGCTTGCTAAGTCCCCCGACTCTCCAAGCTCATGGGACCCTAAACCTGCAGTACCCCTACCCAGACCCCCGGGAGGATCTAGAAAGTAGATGCCCTAATTTAGGGCCCTATACTAGTAAGGGTCCTTTATAGGAACCCCCATTAAGGGATCTACTTTTTGGATCCTCCCGGGGGTCTGGGTACAGAACCCTTAAAGGTTCCTTGAGACCGTGAAACTTATCCACATGGCTGACGCAGCACCGGGCCTGCTTGGCGACCTGTATTGATGCCAACGCCCAG